CCCAGCCATCCCTCCCCAGGCTCCGGCAAAGCCCTGCCCCCCACTAACCATCCCGCCCCCAGGCACTGGCAAAGCTCTGCCCCCCCATAACCATCCCTCCCCCAGGCTCCAGCAAAGCCCTGCCCCCCATAACCATCCCGCCCCCAGGCACCGGCAAAGCTCTGCCCCCCCATAACCATCCCTCCCCCAGGCTCCGGCAAAGCCCTGCCCCCCCACTAATCATCCCACCCCCAGGCTCCGGCAAAGCCCTGCCCCCCCATAACCATCCTTCCCCAGGCACCAGCAAATTAGGCAGGACTGAGGGTGCTGACCTTCGGGGGATGCACATCCACGGAGACTAGGTGAGGGACTAGCAGCTCTGCATGGACAGACACACAGATGGGGACATTAACCACAATACTGGGGTCATAAAGGGGGCAGGGATAGCTCAGTGGTTTGAGCATTGGCCTGCTAAACTCAGGGTTGTGAGTTCAATCTTTGAGGGGGCCATTTAGGGATCTGGGGCAAAAATCTGTTTGGGGATTGGCCCTGCTTTGAGCAGGGGGTTGGACTAGATGACCTCCTGAGGTCCCTTCCAACCCTGATATTCTATGAAACCCATAGAGAGCCACCACTTTGGTGTTCATCCAGCCCTGGGGCAGACGTGCCTTGGGTGCGGCTTCAGCCCAGCCACGGAAGGGTTTAATAGTTCTGCGTCTGGCACACGGGCTAGGCCAGAGCGAGTGGCTGTTCCTGGCCCAGGAGTTGTCGTCCCACAAGCAGGGACCAAGACACTTGGTGCCTCTGGCTAACTTGGCCCAGCCCTGAGCACGGGAGCAGACGGAGACTCACAGGCAAATCTGGGATAAGGGTGAGTTAGAAGCATTTGACCCACAGGTGTGGCTGCAGGCCTTGGGCTGCACGTTGACCCCAGGGGATCTGGACAAAAGCTGTCTCCTTGAGGGCAAAGCATTGTCCACTGGTGCTGAGCCTACGACAGGTGCGTGAGGATCTCTGGAGCCCCAGACCAGGGACACACTCGGGCTCCCAGCCCTGCAGCAGGCAGGATGGCGGAGTGCCTGGAGCTGGGTCTATTGTGGCTCCTTTGCAGCCAGTGGTGCTAGCCACCCCCGGGGGGAAGCATGCAGTCCCTGCTGAGCGCTTTGGAGAATCCCACTTCACACAACAGCCCCCCCTTCTGCTACTGTGGCCAATGCCCCAAAGCAGGGGTGATGGGGGGCTCAGAGCGTCTTGCACAGGGGGCATAGCAAGGGCCAGAATGCTGCAGCTAGCCAGGCAAAGCCGCCCAGAATTGGGGGGCACGGGGGCTTGGCGCCACGTTCACAGGCCTGAGAGACAGTCAGGAATTGGCCCTCTATGCCCCAGGCTCTCAGGTGGGGAAGGGGAATGGACACTGCTTCTCTTCTGCAAAGCCGTGCCGGTGTCAAGGTGCTGAGTAGTGGGGGCTCCTCAGGGTAGCACTGGAGTTCCTCTACCCCGCCCCGCGGGCAGGCCCTAGGAGTCCTGGCAGGTGCCATCCTGCATGTAAAGGCCCACTGGCTTCTCCCCGGGACCCTGGCCCTTAGCCCCAGCACACTCACCAGGTGGGGCGTGTGCCGCTCAGACCTCTCAAGCTGGATTTTGATCTCCGGACAGGCAGCGTCTCCAGGTTTCCTGGGCTCAGGCTGGGGAGACTGGGAGGGTCCTGGAAGGCAGAGTCAGATTGGGATGCGAGCTCCCAGCACGGCCGGGAGAACTAAATGCCTGACACTTAGTAGCCAGAGAGCTGGTGCACAGGCAAGTGGTGGAGCCATGTTCATAGCGGACGATGCAGGGGACTGATTCCCATTCGGCCCAGGCCAGAGCTTGAGCAGCAGTGGGGGAGGGGATGGGGGCTCTGAGTGCTCCCTGTCTAATGGAGCCACACAGAGGCCTGCATGGCACCCGTGTAAATTACTGCCCCGTTGGGGCTGCTCTAACTTATGCCCTGCTTCCCAGAGCCCTCTGGGGAGCAGAGAATAGCTGCAGGGCAACGTCCCTGACCTGGTGTGCCTCCTGCCCTGCCCTGGCAGTGGAAGCCCCCTGCACATGCAGGCTTCACTGGGCGCCATTTCTGCTCCCCTTTAAGGCTGCTTGACGCTTCCCGAGAGGCACCAAGGAACCTGGCTACACTGAAGCCAAACCCAGCGTGCTTCGCATTACCAGCTAGCTGTGCTATCTCCAGCAGCGTAGAGCAGCATGAGCAGAGACGGCAGCTTCAGCCCTGCCATGGCCTGAACTCAGGGCTCTGCCTTTCCCCCGACACCCCACCAGCAGCATCTCCCTGCTGTGGGATTTCTAGTGCCGCCCTGAGCAGGCTGCCCAGCTGGCAGCAGGAAGATTTCCAGCCACCCTTGCAGTTCTTTTCCTGATGCTACGGGCTCCACTCCCCAAACTGTGTGTATGCCCCAACCCCCCCCAGCTCTCCACCCAGCATGGGAAGCAGTGCGGCCTAATGGACAGTGCACTACATTGGGATTCAAGAGACCTGGACTCTATTCCCAGCTCTGCCAGGGGCCTGCTGTGTGAACTTGGGTGCCTCAGTTCCCCCATCTGTAAAATGGAGACTCAGATCCCCCTGCTAATGGCATCTGAGCGCCCAACCGCTTTGACATGTTATACAAGAGCTAGTGATTATCATCTGCCCCTTTGGCGCACCCAGCCCCAGATGCCAGGCTATCTTGCCCATCCCCAGAGCTGTTCGCTGGCAAGGTAGGTGCACAGCTCTCAGGTAGACACTCGGGCAAACGCAGAAGCTTGAGGTGCTACAGCAGGGGTCGCTGTGCCATGGTATGGTGCTTGGCAGAGTGTGTGAACAGGGAGGTGGCGGGGGGGAGGGGCGGCACTCGGCAGTGTGATTGCAGCCCCCTGCTGGCAGGTCTGTGGCAGAGGCCAGGCTCCTGCCCCATAGATGCATCAGGAGGATCTCAGAGAGGCAGCGCCAGGGGAGGGCACAGAGGAAAGGGGGAGGGGACAGGGGGTGTGGGGGTGGGGGCCGGCGGTGGCTGGGGCCGCACTGGGTGGGGTCCCGGTCGGGTACCTGGAGAGCTCCCCCCGCTGGCAGTGCTGAGGCTGTCATCCAGCCACGTGCTGTAGATGAAGGAGTCTTGCTTGTGGGGCGTTCCCAAGGCCTGGCTCTCCTGCAGCACACACAGGAAAGGGATGGGGGGCGGTGAGGCAGACACTCCCCGGCTGATGAGCTCCAGAAATGGGCTCTTCCTGGAAGACTTAGAGTCCCCTCCCAGCTGAGGATGCTGGGTCCTCCCCAGCCGCTGAGCACCCCCGTCCCGCCTGACAGGGACCCCCCACTCAGGAGACAGGCTCCATGGCTGCGATCCCCCCTCAGTGCCCCGTGGCCAGCAGGGACCCGACCTGTGCAGCGAGGGCCCCTCCAGCCCGAAGCTGAGAGGTCAGGGAAAGGGGCCAGTGCACCAAGCTCCATCCTGACTTACCGCGCCCGTGTCATCGTCAGCACCCTCGTTCTCCTCCACCACGCTGCCGAAGCTGCTGGCGCTAGATGACGAGCGTGAGAAATCCCGCAGCACCTCAGGCCTCTGCAATGCTGGCTCCCCCCTGCAGACATGGGGCAGTCAGACCCAGTACCCCCTAAAACCTCCCCCCCCCCGAGACACTGGGCAGTCAGACACAGTACCCCACTAACTCCCTCCCCGAGACACAGGGCAGTGAGACCCAGGAACCTGCTGTGTCCCCCCAAGACACAGGGCAGTGAGACCCTGTTCCCCCTGAGACACTAGCCAGTGAGACCCAGCGCTCCCTGTGACGTTATTGACATGAACTGTGACCGTATAGATCATTGTTGCAAACAAGATCCTAGAGTTGCACCAAATCTGGTACAAAGGAGATCAAGTAAGGTGTCTATGCTGGTTATGATTATGCTGTCTGTATGTGTGTATCATTTTTGTATGTGAAGTTATGAATATAGGCTATGTACTTGTATCTCAATGTTTGATTCTAAGTAGCATTAGTGAAGCATTTGGTCAGCTTCTTGAGAAAGGACTATTCTCAGTAAGTGCCTAATGAAGAAACACTTAACTGACAATGGACTTTGGGAGATGCCAATCCACATCTGAGTTTTCCTGGGAACTTTCAAGGTAGCATGTGAGCAATGGCTGCTCTACCTGTAAAGAGTCATGCATGTGATTTACCCATGTGACTCCAAACTCCATCTTGCTGCTGTGATTTTCCACAGTAAGAACAAAGGGGTGTCCTTCCACATTGGCAGAGGATATAAAAGGCCCTGGAAATCCCTCCATTTTGTCTTCAATCCTGCTTCTTACCTCCGGAGGGACTTTGCTACAAACTGAAGCTCTGAACAAAGGACTGAATGACGCATCCCAGCTGGGGATGCTCCAGAGACTTGATTTAAACCTGCAGTTTATTTCATCACTGCTACAAGCCTGATCCACGAACTTTGCCATTACTGTGTGTAATTGGTTCCATTTAACCAATTTTAACTCTCATCTGTATTTCTTTCTTTTTATGAATAAACATTTAGATTTTAGATCCTAAAGGATTGGCAACAGCGTGATTTGTGGGTAAGATCTGACTGGTATATTGACCTGGGTCTGGGGCTCAGGCCTTTGGGATTGGGAGAATCTTTTTTCTTTTACTGGGGTATTGGTTTTCATAACCATTCATCCCCATAAGGAGTGGCCCTGGTGGGGATACTGGGAAACTGGAGTGTCTGAGGGAATTGCTTGTATGACTTCTGGTTAGCCAGTGGGATAAAACCGAAGTCCTCTCTATCTGGCTGGTTTAGTGATGCCTTAGTAGTGAAGGACCCCCAGCCTTGGGCTGTGAGTGCCCTGCTCTAAGTAATTTGTCCTGAATTGATATTCTCAGTAGTGTCCCGCCAAAGGCCGCTTCGTTACACCCTCCTACACCCCTCCCCGAGACACAGGACAGTGAGACCCCACGCTCCCCTTGCACACACCCCCGAGACACTGGGCTGTGAGACCCAGCACCCCCTCCATGCCCCCCTGAGACTCAGGGCAGTGAGACCCAGCACCCCCCCTGTGCCCCCCCGAGACACAGGGAAGTGAGACACAGCACCCCCTTAACTGGCCCCCCAAGACACAAGGCAGTGAGACCAAGTACCCTCCGTGCCCCCCCTGAAACACTGGGCAGTGAGACCCAGCACTCCTCCTGTACCCCTCCGAGACACAGGGCAGTCAGATCCAGCACCCCCCTATGCCCCCACAAGACACAGGGCAGTGAGACCCAGCACCCTCCCTGTACCCCACCCCTGAGACAGAGCAGCTCTCTGGTACCCCCCAAGACACAGGGCAGTGAGACTCAGTATCCCCCCGTACCTCCCTGAGTCACAGGGCAGTGAGACCCAGAAACCCCCGTTTGACAAAGTGGGGATTCCTCAAGGAATCAATTCTGAAGCACTTCGAGGAGAGGAAAGTGATCAGGAACAGTCAGCATGGATTCACCAAGGGCAAGTCATGCCTGACTAACCTAATTGCCTTCTATGAGGAGATAACTGGCGCCGTGGTTGAGGGGAAAGCAGTGGACGTGTTATTCCTTGACTTTAGCAAAGCTTTTGATACTGTCTTCCACAGTACTCTTGCCGGCAAGTTAAAGAAGTATGGGCTGGGTGAATGGACTATAAGGTGGATAGAAAGCTGGCTAGATCGTCAGGCTCAACGGGAAGTGATCAATGGCTCCATGTCTAGTTGGCAGCTGGTATCAAGCGGAGTGCCCCAAGGGTCAGTCCTGGGGCTGATTTTGTTCAATATCTTCATTAATGATCTGGAGGATGGCGTGGACTGCACCCTCAGCAAGTCTGCAGATGACACTAAACTGGGAGGAGTGATAGATACACTGGAGGGTAGGGATAGGATACAGAGGGACCTAGACAAATTAGAGGATTGGGCCAAAAAAAACCTAATGAGGTTCAACAAGGACAAGTGCAGAGTCCTACACATAGGACGGAAGAATCCCATGCACTGCTACAGACTAGGGACCGAATGGCTAGGTAGCAGTTCTGCAGAAAAGGACCTAGGGGTCACAGTGGACGAGAAGCTGGATATGAGTCAACAGTGTGCTCTTGTTGCCAAGAAGGCTAACGGCATTTTGGGCTGTATAAGTAGGGGCATTGCCAGCAGATCGAGGGATGTGATCATTCCCCTCTATTCGACATTGGTGAGGCCTCATCTGGAGTACTGTGTCCAGTTTTGGGCCCCACACTACAAGAAGGATGTGGAAAAATTGGAAAGAGTCCAGCGGAGGGCAACAAAAATGATTAGGAGGCTGGAGCACACGATTTATGAGGAGAGGCTGAGGGAACTGGGATTATTTAGTCTGCAGAAGAGAAGAATGAGGGGGGATTTGATAATTGCTTTCAACTACCTGAAAGGGGGTTCCAAAGAGGATGGATCTAGACTGTTCTCAGTGGTAGCAGATGACAGAACAAGGAGTAATGGTCTCAAGTTGCAATGGGGGAGGTTTAGGTTGGATATTAGGAAAAACTTTTTCACTAGGAGGGTGGTGAAGCACTGGAATGGGTTACCTAGGGAGGGGTGCAATCTCCTTCCTTAGAGGTTTTTAAGGTCAGACTTGATGAAGGCCTGGGATAATTTAGTTAGTGTTGGTCCTGCTTTGAGCAGGGGGTTGGACTAGATGACCTCCTGAGGTCCCTTCCGACCCTGAGATTCAATGATTCTATAATACTGTTTTGCATGGATGCTGTGTGTGCCTCAGTTTCGCTGTGTATTGCACCTAGACATTGGTGCAATACACAGGGGATTAAGCCTGTGTGACTTTTGCGGGGGTTGCTCCATCTGCCTGCATGTATGCTCTGGCCACTCCTTCATAACCTGAGACCCAGGAGGGGGATGCAACCAGGTGACTCTTGGCCTGGGAAGTGAGACAAAGGCCTGAGGAGGAGGAGCGGGCAGGGTAGGGGCCAGGCAGTTAGAAGCGTGGGCTGGCTTGGGACTCAGGGGGAGGACCAGCGCCCTGGCTCTGGGCTCCCCTCCCCCTGAGATGGACTTGGCTGAAAGTCACTGATTTCTGTGCTAACAAGTTCTGCCCTACCCTGTGTTCCTGTTGACTAATAAACCACCTGTTTTACCGGCTGGCTGAGAGTCACTGCTGACTGTGGAGTTGGGGTGCAGGGCCCTCTGGCTTCCCCAGGAGCCCAGCCTGGGCGGACTTGCTGTGGGAAGTACACTGTGGGGCAGAGGATGCTGAATGCTCCGAGGTCAGACCCGGGAAGGTCGAAGCTGTGTAAGCTTCTTGCCCTGGAGACAGAGAGAGGAGGCTCCCCCAGAGTCCTTACTGGCTTTGTAGGGAATAGTTCCAGAGCATCGCCCTGGTGACTCCGTGACAACCGGTGGCAGTGGTAGGATAAACTGCACCCCTTGGACAGCATCCTGCAGTAAGTGACTGGAGAACAGTAAAACGAAGGGGGATTAGCAAGAGACGGGCATGCTGGAGGTTCCAAAAGGTGCGGTTCCAGGCGGAGGCTTAACCCCGAGAGAGGTGGACCCCCGAGATGGGCTGTCGCACTGAAGGGGTTCCTCCCAGGGATAGTGGGGAGCTGAGAGAGCAGAGGCCTGATAGTCTGAGGGACAGGCAGGGTCGATGTAACTGCTAGGTGAACTAGGCAGCCGCCTAGGTTGCCAAGATTTGGGGGCCCAAAAAGCGGTGCCCCCCAATTTTTTTTTACACTACTGTATTCATTTTTGAAAGTTTATAATAAGCGATGCTCCGGGGAGGCGGGGGGGAGGAGGAGGGGCGCAAGGTGGAAGTTTCGCCTAGGGCGCAAGATATCCTTGCACCGGCCCTGGGGACAGGCATGCTGAAGGCTCAGAGAGGTGCGGTTCCAGGAGGTGGAGGAGCCTACGGCTCAACCCCGAGAGAGAGTGGACCCCCGATAAGGCTGTTGCACTGAAGGGGTTCTGTGATGGGTTGGATCACAGAAACCCCCCTGGGAGCTGCCAACTGATATGCCAAGACTACCTCTGCTCCTGTTTTCCCTGCCAGCTCAGGACTCCAGCACCCTGTCTTGCTGAGCCAGACACTCCCGTCTGCTCCAACAAAGACCCAGGGTCTGAAATACTTGCCCCAAAGCTGCAAGTTTACCTGAAAACAGCTCACAGAAGTGTGCTTGTCTTTAGCATTCAGATGCCCAACTCCCAATGGGGTCTACACCCAAATAAACCCGTTTTACTCTGTATAAAGCTTATGCAGGGTAAACTCATAAATTGTTCGCCCTCTATAACACTGAGAGAGATGCACAGTTGTTTGCTCCCCCAGGTATTAATACATACTCTGTATTTAATAAAATCACTTTTGACTTCTTAATTAACTCAAAGTCGGATTTAAGTGCAGGGCCGGCTCTAGGCACCAGCGCTCCAAGCATGTGCTTGGGGCGGCACTTTCCAAGGGGCGGCACTCCGGCTCCTTTTTTTTTTTT